CAGTGATTTATCTTACCATGACATAGCATTGAGCAACATAGCTCTGAGATCCTATCATCTGGTGGTACTGAACTAGCTCATGGCTATCTTTGTTTTTCAGACATTTTTCCTATACAAAGAAAACATTAGTGGACAGACAATCCATATATTCTGTAAGGCAACAATTTTGATAGATATTAAGGAAGGGTACCTTGTGCTTTGGGTTAGACCACATGTCCACGAGTTGTTTCCACTGCATGTCAGTCATAGTGGACAACGGTGAAGTTGTTCTCACTGCATTTGCTGGTATGCCATTAAAGTATTGCTTCTTCAGCTTGTATCTCATCTGCCGCTGTCCTTTTTTGAGCAAATCAGAAAATGCATCTTTCATTGGCACAGCATCTTTGTTAATTGTGAATTGACTCTGGACAAGAGCATGCACATATCGTTAAACATCATTCAAATGATGTTCTAGGGAGTGTGTGGCAGCGGCAGCGGCAGCGGTAGCAATAGCAAGCAGTATAAACAAGTGTCAACTCTAGATTATGATGCACTATATTACAGAATAATTTGAATAGAGATAGACAAAGTGTATGATTAGTAAGAAAAAATACACAAATTGAACCAAGATCACTAAAAGAAATGACAAAGGACGAACACCAATTGAATTTCTGAAAATGCAAGAAGCGACATATCTATTTAGTAATTCATAGACCACGGGAAAATATGTTCCTAGCAACCACACATTTTTCTAGCTGCAGCAGCGAAGTAGCTCTAGAAACTACTAAAGCTTACTAAAGTTTATCATTGTATAGTTGTAATCCATAAACCATAGGAAAATATGTTCCTAGCAGCCACACATTTTTCTAGCTACAGCAGCAAAGCAGCTCCAGAAGCTACTAAAGCTAACTAAAGTTTATCATTGTATAGTTGTAATCCATAAACCACAGGAAAATAGACTAAAACTATGGTACTAGAAAAGCAGCAGCAAAGCCACACATTTAGACTAAAACTATGGTACTACAAATTTAGAAAATACTAAAGCTTACACCACTTATTGTATAGTTGTAATCCATAAACCACAGAAAAATAGGTATCTATTTAGCAGCCAGGTTACTTACACTAAGTTTATCATTGTAGTTTTTAACAAGAGGTTTGGCAGTGTCCTCCTTATAATGCTTCCAGTGAGTGAAGATTGGGACATGGTCCAGTAGAATAATACCACCCCTCGATGCTAGTTTTGCGACTTGCAAAGGCTCCTCCGCCATAACTTTCCTTGAGAGATGTTCTTTGGGATCTTGTTTCTTAACCCTCTTGAAATCGTATCCAAATCTCGCCTAGGTGTCTTTTGGTGATATATCGACCTATCATGGAATTTGGAAAACAATTAGAGGAAATCATAGACCCATTAATGCAAATAAATAAATCATTAATAGTGGAGAGAGGGTACAATCACTTGCCTTGAGAGAAGGCTCATTACAGTTTTTTGACTGGGTATTATCATTGGCGACCATCGGTGCATCTTCGTGGAACCAACTTGTGGGTCTCTGCTGTTGGAACTTCATCGATTGAGGCCAATTCCCTTGTCCTCTGCCTAGTAATTCTTGCTGGTTCATCTTGCCCCCAAAGTGCCACTACCATCACTCTCTTTGATGTTCTTGCAAAACTCTTCCTAACTTCAGGTTCCAAGTCTTGCATGGCCTCCTACATGATACAACAAATTACAACAGAATGAATAATTCTGCATATTTAACACAAATGATTGAGCTTTGCTCATGTACTGCATATTTAACATAAATGTTGGGTTGTCATCATGTACTGCATATTTAACATAAATGTTGGGTTGTCATCAAGGTACCTTATCAAATACTCCTTGTTCAACGTCTTCACCGGCTTCAGGTTGATACAATGAGCCAGAGTCTTCACGAGTAGCATTAGTGGCCATTGGTCTTGATTGTTTCAGAATATTTGCTGCCTCTTGTATTCCAAGACTGTGGAACACCCGACTATTCCACATCACTTGTTCCATCTTCTACATCTCATATTCAGTCAGTGGAGCCTCTGTACTTGCATGAGAAAAAGAAATCACAGTAAATTAAGCATGTGAGAACACAGACCATGTAAATTAAGCATGTGAGAACAAAACCTACAGAGTAATGTACGATTAAGAATTAGTATTGAAGTTTGACAGTGAAATATGGAACCAACTATACAGCCTTGTCACTTACTGAAATAGTTTTTGTGCTAATTCTAAAAAAAGAACATACAACTATTTACACGTTTAACAGCATCTCTAGTAGCCTAGTTAGTCAATGAAAAAAAAGAGTATCTCCCCTCAAAAAGGTTCACTTTACTGAAGGTAGCATACAACTATTTTCAGCCATGCTAATTCTGAAAAGCCATGACAGAGCATATAACTAGTTAGGTTAATCAGAAAGGGAACCAACTATCTCCAAATTCCTCGCCATGACAGAGCATATAACCCCCAGCCGCTATGCTATGCCTCGCCACCTAGCATCTCTGCAGCCGCGCCGGGCGCCAACGCTGGCTCCTCAAGCTGCAGGGCAGGCCTCCCCTTGCAAATCCCTAGATTTAGGACCAGAGCCTCGGTCGCAGTTCCCTACCATATGGATTGCAAAGTAAGAGGGGGGAAACCACAAGTTACCTTCTGGTTCAAGTCTGGTTGAGGGCCCGGTCTTCGGTTTCCGACCAGGAGCCATCTTCGTGAGTCCAGGAAGCCGGGAGCGGAGCACGGAGGACAACGTCGGGGGCGCAGGGCCTCTTCGGCGGCTAAGGGCAGCGGAGGGCGGCGGACCCTCTTCGGCGGCTGAGGGTAGCAGGGGCAACGAAGTGGTGGCTACTGAGAGGAGTAAATTAGATTGACTAGGTTTTGGGGGAGAGGTGAGCTGAATAGGTCACGGCAAGGGGTAAATGTACTGTACTATCCTTTGTGCAAAGGAGACCTATTGTAGTATATGTCTGGATAGAAATGACATTTTGACTCCAAAATTTTTGGTGTGGCATGGAGACATCGCGCCACTGCACGGCTGCGCCAGGCATCCAAATTTTGGTGCATGCGCTGCTTTCTTTATACTGTTTTCTTATTATTATTACAACTAATAAATAATGGTACACGAATAATAGAAATATGGCGCACGCCCTGGTTTTTCCTCTTCATGATTGCATCTTGATGTTTAGTTTTAAACTATAAATTTCAAAATGTGTTTTCATTGTTTGATGTGTTTTCATTGTACAACTGATAGGAATAAAAGCATGTAAGTGATAGAACAAAAATCATTGTGCCTAATAAAAGTCATGTTAGGAACAAAAACATGATTAGTTGTTTTCTAAATGATTGTGTAATCAATTGTGTATACTACATTTTTTTCACTAGAAACTATTCGTAAAGTCCAGGGAGAGAAAATAAGAGTACTACTCAGAAAAGAACTGCAACGTGTCTGATCGTAGAGTAGTACTACTCAGACAAGAACCGCGACGTTGTCCGATCACATGCTCAAGATTTCCCACCCGTTGCAATGCACATGCATGTGTGTTAGTACTAGTACCATTGTCGTTGCGCCACTAGGCCCAATCATTAACTGAGTACTAGTACAACCTTGAAGATGTGGCTGCAGCGCAAGTTTAGAGAGGAGAGGGAATCGGCGAAGATGGGGACATACTTGACCTTGTGGTGGTCATGGCCCTCCTCGATCTTGCTCATAATGCATGTTAGGAGCTTCTGCCATCGATGTTGTCCACGCAGAAATGGCAGAGAAAATGATTACAGCCTAAATAGGGGTGGCACGCATAACACATGTTCATTCGGTGCGACAGACATTGGACATGTACCAAAAGGGTCCTAGTTCAAAGTCGTTCTATTAATAGCGCTAGTAATAGTACCACCATCATTGCACCAGTCTAGGCTCAGTCATCAACTGAGTACTAGTACGTCAACTCATGAATAAAACCTCGATCCAAGCATCTCTCATGATGCTTCGGTTGTATACATGGAGTAATAGAGGAAGTCCTACAAGTGGAGAGTCAAGCTCAGATGCTAATACAACATCGAAGGTGTGGCCACAGAGCAAGTTCAGCGAGGAGAGGGAACCCGTGACCGATGTATTACTGATCAATATATATATGTCCTTGTTGTTCTAGATAATGGACAAACATGGCCAAAAGATTTAAAAATAAGCACTTGAAATAGGTTTCGTAGGGATAAAAAGACTGTAACAAATAGTTTTTTTTAGAGATAATAGTTAGGTACGTGCTTGAAAATAGTTTGAAAAGTAGCAAAAAAGAAGAAGATGTGGCTGCAGTGCGAGTTTAGAGAGGAGAGGGAATCGGCGAAGATGGGGACATACTTGACCTTGTGGTGGTCATGGCCCTCCTCGATCTTGCTCATAATGCATGTCAGGAGCTTCTGCCATCGATGTTGTCCACGCAGAAATGGCAGAGAAAATGATTATAGCCTAAATAGGGGTGGCACACAAAACACATGTTCATTCGGTGCGACAGACATTGGACATGTACCAAAAGGGTCCTAGTTCAAAGTCGTTCTATTAACAGCGCTAGTACTAGTACCACCGTTGTTGCACCACTCTAGGCTCGGTCATCAACTGAGTACTAGTACATCAACTCATGAATAAAACCTCGATCCAAGCATCTCTCATGATGCTTCGGTTGTATACATGGAGTAATAGAGGAAGTCCTATAAGTGGAAAGTCAAGCTCAGATGCTAATACAACATCGAAGGTGTGGCCACAAAGCAAGTTCAGCGAGGAGAGGGAACCGGTGACCGATGTATTACTGTATATATATGTCCTAGATAATGGACAAACATGGCCAAAAGATTTAAAAATAAGCTTTTTAAATAGGTTTCGTAGGCATAAAAAGACTGTAACAAATAGTTTTTTTAGAGATAATAGCAAAAAAAAAGATGTGGCTGCAGATATTCAAAACTGTTGTCATCTATGCAGATATTCAGAACTGTTGTCATCTATGCATTAAAAATAGGCCAATCAAGATTCAAGCCACCAACCACAGATGCAGTGTACAGAATACCAGAACACTAGAATAGAATAGTAGTGCTACACATATCCATCAAGAATTAAAAATTTAAAACAAACCAAGGCCAATGGCCCAATTCAACTGCACTGTCTAGAACAACTGCAGTACAGATTATTTAAATTGAAACCACAACTAAATCTAGTCGTATTCGCTATCATTGTCATCTTCTGGAGGGATTGTCGGACCTTCATTATCACTCACATATTGCCATCTAGTTTCATCTTCGCTGTCGGCTGACTCATCTTGTTGCCCTTCCGCTTCTCTTTGTCTCCGGAGGTCATCAACTACACTAGCATCAACACGAACACCATCTTCACTAACTGGCTGCTCATTTTCCAGACATCCTTCAGTAAGTTGAACATGCACACCTTCACAATAATCATCTTGGTGGGACAATACTGCAGCATTGGGTATATCCTCATTATCATTTTCAGCCACACTCCACAAGTGTTTGTGTGAAAATTTTTGAACAACTCGCCATTTCTGACGATACTTGGTGTCTAACAAATAAAATACCTTTATTGCATGTGTCGCTAGAATAAAAGGATCATCCTTGTACCACAAGTTGCCATGGTTTATGCTTTTGAAGAACCCATCTTCCTTCATTCGGAACTTCTTTCCATGAGTGTCAAACCAATCACATCGAAATAGAACCACTGTCCTATTGCCACCCGAATCTGCATTGTATCTAAGCTCAATTATTTCCTTCAAGGAACCATAGAAGTCAATATCATGGTTGTCATGTGTACCCTCAAACATAATTCCACTATTTTGTGTTCTTCTATTTTTCTCAAGGTCTACAGTGTGGAATCGAACACCATTAACAAGACATGCTGAATAAATTCGAACTCGCAGATCAGGCTCACATGACAGTGCAAATAGCTCATCATTTATGACTTGTCCTTCCACATAACGAAGTTTTGCAATCTGCACAAAAAATTAATGGACATAAAAATTTTGCTTCTTAAACCAGGAAAAAAATGATGAAACAAATTAATTGAGATCAAACTCACGTGCTTCTTAAACCATGAAGAAAATTGCTTCTCAAGGGTTTTTTGAACATTAGGACATCCTTCATTCTCCAACTCTTTCTTGTATATCCTGAAAATGATAGTTAATTCAAACATTAGGGCTAATAACTAAGTTACAAGAAACAATGAAAATAGTAGATGGGCTGACATACTCAATATATGGCTCAACCTCCGGACAATTGTTTAGTACGAACCAAACCATTTTTTCATAATCATGCTCAAGATATGTAAGACTTGGTGCTCCAAGAACATCAGCTCCATGCTGGAAAACAGATAGGTCTCCTCTCACAATTGCAACACGCTCTCTATTCCTGCCCTCTTGATTGTGTCGTGTCTCAACATCATCATCAAAGTACCTCGAGCAAATAGTCAAGCACTCAGCGGCAACATATGCTTCTGCAATGGACCCTTCAGGCCTTGCCATGTTCCTCACAAACTGTTTCAATGTTAACAACCTTCTTTCTACTGGGTACATCCATCCATATTGTACTGGACCTCTAAGAATTGCCTCTTCAGGTAAATGGACAGCCAGGTGTAGCATCACATCAAAGAAAGAAGGAGGAAATATTTTCTCAAGCTTGCACAAAATGATTGGGATGTCAGCTTTCAGTCTTTCCAACACATCTAACTTCAAAGTTTTTGCACAAAGTTGCTGAAAAAAATTACCTAATTCAGCAAGTGCTTCATATATGTCCATGTGCATGATTCCTCGGACAACAGCAGGTATAATCCTTTGAAGAAGAATGTGACAATCATGAGTTTTCAGTCCTTGGAGGTTGCATCCATCTGCAGTACACACATGTTGCTAAGTTGGAAGCGTATCCATCTAGAAATTTTACACTCCTCAAAAAATCACAAAAATGCTCCTTCTGTGTTTTAGTCATTATGTAGGGGGCATGAGGAGTACTATATGAATCTCCATCACGGATCAAGTGTAAATGCTTCCTAATGCCCATATCTTCCAAATCAAGCCTAGAATTTATATTGTCCTTTGACTTCCCAGCCCTGCCTAGAAATGTACCAAGGATATACTCACATATATTTTTCTCAATGTGCATCACATCAAGATTATGCCACAGCTTCAAACTTGACCAATATGGCAAATCCCACAAACATGACCTTCGCTTCCAACATTGGCCCTCTTCGTCCCGCTTTCTTTTTTTGCTTTTAGGATGCCTTCCTGGTCTGACATCCTTGACCCTCTCTAGTTGCTCCATCAGCTCATCCGTGGTAAATTTCTCTGGCTTCTCACGGTTTTCAACATTACCATCAAACACCTTGCTCCTCCTCCATGGATGGGCCCTAGGAAGGAAACGCCGATGTCCAATGTAACATATCTTATTCCTTATCCTTTTGGAGCAAGGGTTTTTGTCACAATGCACACAAGCATAATAACCTCTTGTGACTCTACGTGACAGTGTGCTCAAAGTAGGATAATCATGAATGCACCATATTACAGCAGCATGTAAATCAAACTTCTTCTCACTAAGTGCATCAACAGTAGGGACGCCTTTCCAAAGCTCTAGGAACTCCTCAACAAGTGGCTCCAAGAAGACATCAATATCCTTTCCTGGGCATTCTCGACCAGGGATAAGCAGGCCCATGATAAAGTTGGATTGCTCCACACATTCCCATGGAGGAAAGTTGTACGGGATAAGAAACACTGGCCACATGCTATATGAGGAGCTCATTTTACCAAATGGATTGAAACCATCAGTACGAGGCCAAGCCTGATGTTCCTTGCATCTTCTACAAACCATCCATACTTCCTGTCAAAGTCTTTCCATGCATCGCCATCAACTGGATGGTTGAGCTCATTCTCCACTGGCTTCCTCTTCAACTTGTGCCATTGCACCACCTCTGCTGTTCTTTTGGAAGAAAAGATTCTCTTCAGCCTAGGAATCAACGGAAAATGTCGCAAAACCTTCTCAGGAATCTTCTTTCTTGCATCATTGTCTTTCCATCTTGATGCACTACAAACTGGACAAACATCATTTTTTTCTAAATTCTTCTGAAACAGAACACAATTATTTGGGCACACATGGATTGAATTGTATCCGAGCCCCAATGCACGGATAAGTCTCTTTGCTTCCTGGTATGATGCAGGAATAGAGCAATTTGGGAATGATGATGACAACAACTTCAGTATCGCTGTGAATCCACCATTAGAAATCCGGTAAAATGACTTGATATGAAGTAACTTCACCACAAAAGAAAACCTTGTGCAAGGACCACTAGGGGACAATTGTTGCTTCATCTCTTCCATTAGAATTGCAAACATAGACTTTGTCCCTTTACCTTCCTCTTTAGCTGTGTACAACTCCTCTACCATACCACGAATTCCATCATCAGGGTCATCTTCCTCATCCACATTCATGCCAAAATCCTCATTGAGACTAGTATGTTCATCAACATGGTCATCAATTTCATGTGGTACAACCTCCAATGGTTCACCATGATGTATCCATATAGTGTAAGTAGTAGCCATCCCATAAATATACAAGTGATCCTGCACCTGTCCTTTAGGTTTGCAAACCCAATTCAAACACTTATGACATGGACAGAGCATCTCTTCATCATCATTGAATCTCTCGGAAACAAAGGTCATGAATTCATTCACCCCATTCATGTGTTCCTCGCTGAACATCCTACTGTTGATCCAAGATCTATCCATCTGCACAAAATCATGAGATACACTTGCTCAAAAAATTTTACATATATATGATACTTGACCAAAATTATCAAACATGTGACATGTCATTATTTATATGAAATCTGTACACAATAGTTGAGCATTGCTTTATCTCCAATAATGGGTTAAATAAATCTACACTAACCTTTATTTCAATTCTTGCTAACAAACAAACACTAAGATACAATTTGGTATTATCATGAACTGTTGCCCTGCAATTGGTGCAAAGTTGTGAGCAACTACTAAGCACTAAGATGCAAGACTACTTCAGTAAGCAAATCAGTACCTTTCTTGCAGGCTAGAACTACGAGCAGAACAAATCAAGGGAGTTCTGCTAGCTTCTAGGGAGATCTGCGCTGCTCGCCAAGCTGCTCTACATCATGCCGCTGGATGCTGGATGCGGTCCGCGCAGCTCCGCACCGCCGCCCGCTGCCGGCCTGGACGCGTAGCTCCGCGCCGCCGTCCGCTACTGGCCTGGCCACAACAGGTCCACCTTCGCTGCCGCCTGCTGCCGGCCTAGACGCGCAGCTCCGCGCCGCCGTCCGCAACTGGTCCACCTTCGCCGCCGCTCGCTGCCAGCCTAGATGCGTAGCTCCGCACCGCCGTCCACTACTGGCCTGGCCGCAATAGGTCACGAAGGTGGATCCGCCGTTGTCCTCGTCCGCAACCGTTCACGAGCTAAAAGTCTATGAGGACATATGGTACATTACCTTGTTATATTTGGATATATAGTATCATGTGTGCCAATCAACAAAGATATCTTCATAGCTCAGTGGTATGTTCACTTCCTAGGAACCACGAGCGTGCGTGTTTGAGTCCTCCCATCCGCGCTTTTTTAACATTTTGCTGGGGTGAGAAACAGGTTCCCTATCGGCTGGCTGGGGCGCGGCCTGTTGGGCTGAGTACATAGGGCGTGGCCTGTTGGGCTGAGCGATTGGGGTGAACAGGCGCCCTTTCAGCTAGGGCGTAGCCTGTTGGGCCGAGCGCCTGGTGGCCTATATTGATGAAAAATTAAATAGGGTAGAGGTAAATAATAGAAAAAAGAAAAAATATGACCACGTGGCAATAGGACATGCCAACATGGACAAGTGTATTTAAAATAATTTAATAAAATAATTTGTGACGCACAACCTTTGTCATATATTTATGACATTCAAAAATTAGTCCTTATGACATAGCAAATATTGTCACCGGATAGAATTAGATTAGTAATATGACATTTGTTGTGACATACAACTTTTTATTGTCACTAAGTCAAAATGCCTAAAATAGAATGTCATAAACCGGATGATATAATGACATTATGACCTATTGTCATACTAAATACGTCAAAAAACCACACATTTCTTGTAGTGATAGGAGTTGATTGGAAACACTTGATGCATATAATTTTCTTGTCCAAAAATATACCTTGAACCCTATGTAGATCTAGGATTGAATATATGCTTAGCCATGCTTAGCTCGGTAGAAGTCGGGTGATTTCCTATCACCTATGAGATATAAGTGGATACCGGATCATGGTTGGCTATATTTGCTATCATGGAAAAGAACCATGTGATGATGTAAATGGAGGCCGAACAGAGTCTATGTGGTAGGTTGATTCATGTGATTCCGTCTGTGCCGATTAATTACCTCATCGTTGGAGGCCCTCTTGTCATTTTGAATGCAGCCTCTCACTTAGCTGGCCGGATAACTCGTTCCGACCGCAAAGCCGAGTAGCTCAACTCGGGTTAGGAGTCGTTCTATCCAAGTGCACACACTGGAGGTAGTAAGGATGTGTAGGGAGCCAGACGTGAGCCCAAGGCCAGGCTAGGCCTGACCGTCCTTGCAACTGGTTGTCCCTAATTGTGTGGCGCTGATCGAACCCGCGACATGTGTACCTGAGCTATACCAAAGGTGACCTAAGACTACCTTGGTGCAGGTATGTCTGGGTTTGTGTTAGGATTTTTGCCCAGCTGGTTGCAATCGATTTGAATTGCCATCTCTCCCGGATAGTGAGAAACTTGACCGAGCCCCTTCATCGTAGTAACTTGATGGATTATGATGGTTATGACGAATAGGAAAATATTACACCAGATATGGTTACTACTATTTGCTTTAGCTTAAATCAAGTGATTACTCTAGTACAGGTGCCAACCTAGACATCCTTAATGTTAATAGGTATAACTTGTTGCTAGAATAACTGATCCGATCGAGATATATATTACTTCAGCCTTTACGCTAAATGTTGTCAGGCCAGCTCTACCTTCTATAGCCTTGCATAATCCTTGGTGTCACTTTATTTTTGGTTCATGATGGATAAGTCTAGCTAAGTACATTCTTGTACTCAGGGTTTATTTCCCCTTATTGCAGATGGTACAGTGTATCATGGGTATTGTAAGCATTGTTTCGCTCCCGCCGTTGACGAGGAGTAAGGCCGCGGGCAAGGTTCTTCTATGTGGTCTTATCTATGATGCTTTTGTTGGACTTGATCACAAACTAGCATGTATTTAAACAAGTGTGTGTGATGTTGGTTTTAAAACTATATTGCTTCCGCTATTGTAGTTGAACTTGGTATTGTAATAACTAAATTTGAACTCCGATGTATGTTGAGATACATGTGAACTTATGTAACATGTGGCTTGTATGTTGGATTATTCGAGATCCTTCATGATACTCGACGAACTATTGAGTTTATATGGGCTCGAGTATTGCAGTGCGATTGCTCCGATGGTTGCCATTATACTCGTGTTCTTATAAATTGGTCGGTTCTGCCACAGCTGGTATCGAAGCAAGATTAAACATTATTTGCCATATGTGTATTTAAAACAAAGGTTTTGGTTTTACAAAACCAGTTTTGGCAATTTATAGTTATGTATTTATAGGTGTTCAAATCTGAAATTTGAATCTATAGTGTGCCAGTGATCATTTCCTTTATGCCCACTTAAGGAGTTCAGGTGGCTTAATAAGTACTAACTTTGGGGGTTTATTTCTTGCAATTTTATTTCATCATCCATACGGCGTGCAATTGTATGGGTGCCATTCACTTGAATGGTAATGTATGGATCAATATACCTCTATGCTCGGGTAAGATGATGAGTGGCATGACCGCAAGATGTGAGCGTACGTTCTAAGGGGAGAGGTAGGTTTGATACTAAAGTATATATATGTCTCATATATATACGATGGTATTTAATTATGGGTTAGCTTTGATATGACTATATATGCATATTTATATGTTTGTATGGGACGTATTTACTATCGGGTAGCTTTGAAATGGAAGTATATATATAATGGGTATATGTATGGAAGTATTTAGCTTGCAACTTAGAGACCAAATTTTTGTTTCTGCATATATATAATTGTGGGGTTGGGTTGAAATGAAAATTCTTCTACAGGTACACTAACAGCAAAACATGTAGCCTAACTAGTTACGCTTATATTATGAGAGAACGTATGTATGCCACCGTGTATGTCACTAGAACCTTAACATTTTCCCAAGTTTGTGAGGACGTAAGGAACGTACATGCATCATGATAATTCATTGATTTTCATACTTGCATTGTTCCTCCCCTTATAAGTTTCTTATTCCAATAAATAACCCTTTTCTAACGTAAGGTTGTTCTCACAAGAGTTCCACCATAATTTTTGTTGGTACAGATGGGAGCATCGATGGGGAATGACACTTTATTGGACGTGTTCGGCACCCCTGCCCTACTCTAGAGGGTGTTGCACTTCGTGGTTACATGGAACCACCCCGCTACTTCTGGACGGAGGAGTACCTAGAAGGGCAACCATGGTTTGAAGTGCAGCTAACTATCCCTGCTCATACACAAGGGCCACTCTGGCAGGAGTGGAGAGCAGAGTCCGAGGGAAGAACTCCTTGGGAAAGTGCCCAAGTGGTTGCTTTTGAGGTGTTGAGCAAGATCTGCCAGCAACACGAGGATGACCTCACCGGCAATGCTGCTAATACCTTTCCTCAGGTGGATCTGACAACTTCAGTTTGGGTACAGCGTAACCGCAATGCATTGGTACGGGAGCGAGATGAGCGGGCAGAGAGTTCTAGTCCCGCTATGAGTTCTATGTTCACCATGATGAAGATGTTTTATGCTCGTTAGGACACCCAGGACTTCTGGCAGGAGTCCTACACCACTTACATGGACAGGCTCATGAGGGCTAAGGCTGCACAACGTCAGCTCAGGAAGTGTGCCCGTAGGCATAGGAGGGCGGCTAGAACAGCTGCTCAAGATAGGGATGCAGCCCAAGAAGCAAGGGCTGATGATCAGGCTATGCTGATAGGACTGTGGGAGTAGCAAGATGTCGCTCATGCCAAGGTGTTTACTGCTATGTGCCAGTGGATCCTAGCTAACAACCGCACTGCCCTGGCTGAAGCCACACATAACAGGGCTGAGGCTGAGGTCGAGCAGCATGCATGGGTTGAGTGGGATTTGCGTCATTAGCTTGCTCATGCCCAGAACATGGTGGTTGATCTTCAGCATGAGGTGCATTATCTGAACAACCAATTGCATCTGATCCTTGATGATGAAGAAGAAGATCCAGAGATGTTGGTAGAAGATGATGGTTGGGAGGAAGAGGAAGTGGAGCCAGTGGAGGATGACAAGGATGATGTTATATCCGACCTTGACAGCGACCACACTAATGAGTAGAGCAACTTTAGTCACTAGCTAGATGTGCTCGATGCTATCTTTTACTATCTTATGTAATGGACATGTAGTTTAAGTTTTAGTTTAGTTAATGCAACTTTGATGTAATATTAGAACCCTACATGTTTGGTCCATGATGGTTTGAACTCTACGGAAAGTCCAGTTTCATTTTGCTATTAAAATGTGATATGCATGCGAATGCGTTGCTAGAATGATAAGTAATAAAATTGGTGATGTTATGATTGTGGAAATGAATTGTTGTGCCTCTATTTTATTGTATGAATTTTAAATTCTCTCTAGTAAATTTAGTTTGGTGTGATTACACAATTCTTCTGCAATCTCTTGGCATCATCCAATAATTACTTATTGATACAATTTGGCAGATGACTCGCACTTGTACGGGGGTTGGTACTAGTCAGGGTGGTGATGATGATGACCCACCACCACCGCCCACCACGAATGAATTCTTCGTGCAATTCCTGGGAAACCAGCGAGCAATGGAGGAGACACTACACCATATTGCATAGAACACGGCCCATGCCCACCAGCAGAATCAGGGTCTGGGGCCAAATCAATACAGCACATTCAAGGACTTCCTAGAGACAAAGCCTCCCATCCTTAAAGAGGCAGAAGAACCACCCAGGTTGATGAATGGCTAAACACCATTGAACAAAAGTTTCGTCTGTTGAGGGTCACAGAGTAGATGAAAGCCGAGTACGCTTCGCACCAGTTGCAGGGACCTGTAGGTTTTTGGTGGACCCACTATTTGTCTGCCTTAGCCACTGGTGCTAATGTTACTTGGGAGCAGTTCAAGACAGCCTTCAGAGGACACCATATACCCCCAGGGCTGATGAGGATGAAAGCAGCAGAATTTATGAAGCTAACATAGGGGAAAAACTCTCACTCAGTACATGCATGCCTTTAACAACTTGTCAAGGTATGCGCCAGCATTTGTGAACACCGAGGAGAAAAAGATAGAGAGCTTCAAGCATGGGCTTGGCACCAAATTGATGAAGACCATGGCCAATTCTAGGTGTGCAACCTATAATGAATTTGTCAGTGATGCTCTCACTCAAGGAAATCAGAACAACTTGCACACTGCAGCAAAAGGCCGCAAGCGAGC